AACTGTAAACAGGCAGAATATAAACCAAGAGATCCGTTTGGCTAGCTTTCCCCAGATTGGGACTATACTCTCTGCATTTGAATGTGACCTTCCAAATTACAGGTTAGGTAACACTGATTTTGTACGTAACCGGAACTCTCCTAAACTAAACACTAATTTACATAGGAGAGAGTACTTAGATATACTTATAGTAATACATTTAATAACAATGTAACAACTTCCTAGTAATGACTTGAAGAAAGTGCCACATTTGCCTCCATTTCTCCCGCCCTCTCTCTCTTCAAGGTTGTCTGTCTTTCCGTGCTGACAAAAATGGAATTGGCATCCATTCGCTTGACTATTAAACATAATCCGCTAGTAACACGTAGCGTTAATTTGATGCAATGTATGGAAGTATTTGTAAAGTGAGATGAATTTAGGCCTCCATTCAGTTTGGTTTTCTCAGGATGGCAGTTGTTTTCTCTTTATTTAAAGGACCAGAAATATAATCTTCTTTAACAGAGAGGCCTTTTAACCTCACATTGAAAATGGACCACCAAGGACACTAACCGAAACTGGAAAAGAGAGTTCCAGTGGATGGCTTGCCAATGCTTCAAGAGGAAGCAAAAGGATTAAGGCAAATTTAGAGAAAAGCAGCATGTCAAAAGAGGCCTAAGCCAAAGCGGAGGAGGGAGAAAAGGTTTCTAGTTTTCATCAGAACTCTTGATCTCTAGGGCACATTTGTCCTCCGATCATCAAAAAAATGTCTTAATCCAAAACAATCATTCTGGCATTTGACTTGGCTTTTTACCTTGCATGCAGCCTTTTTTCCTTTGCAAGCATGTAATTATTTACACCAGGTGCAATACTGCCATACATCTCTCATGACTTTACTATTCACAGGAACATAAATTGCAATTTGCCAGCCTTTACTTAAGTTTCTTTGTGTAAAAATCTTTTACCCTGGTGTACGGTTACTTTGACAAGTAGCACAGTACAATGAAAGGGAAATCGAATTCAGTTGCAAACAATGGGTATTAGCACACCCCTGCTATAAGCCCCAGGTGACTGTACAGAAAAAGATTACAGGGTCTCCAACACGAAGAAAACTGTGTCATATTAAAATGTCAATACTGGAGTTGTAAAAATACACATAAATTGTTCAAAATGCATATATATAAATTATGTTAAAAGACTAATAAAGCCTTTGCAGAGATTTGACAAATATAATGCATTATAAGCAGCTTTCAAATGAAAAATACAGCATGTTACCCGACAATGATATGCTTTTAACATTCTGTTATAATACAGTAATTTCACTATAACTGTGAATTAAATACATTTTCTGTCGATCGTAAATAACTTTTATTTATGTGCAAGTCACAGATATGTTTATATTTGATAGAACATTGAATTTCATTATGTATATGACAAATACCCCCCCCCAAAAAAAGAATTGTGAAATTACAAGACATCATGGAGACGCGTCTATATCTTTAGCAATATAAAGTAGATGTGTCGAAATTATTCCACACAGGCTTTTAATTTTAGGGTAGCTCTGTGTATTATTGAATTTATATTACGTAGCAGTAAGCAGTACCAATCTGTTCCAGAATGCCTGTAGTTCTTGGGGCTCGTTATGCAAACCAACTAAGTAAAAGCCCCAATGTAAAAATTGTCTGTAAAGATGTTGAAATCATACTCTGGTCTCTCACATCTTGATAGTTTCCGATTCTCAATATTTTTTTTTGTCAATCTTTATTTGTCAGAGCGTAGAATTACAAACAGGTTTGTACTGCCGCAACAGCAGAAACCAGCCAATGTGTACAATGCAAATGAAACATCATCATGGCACTTTCGGTACTTCGGCAATATCTAAACAAAATGTCTAAACAGTAGAAAGAAAAATGGCAAATAAAACGATAACACTATTACAATACGGTTTATGGGACTCATATTCCTGTGGAATTGCTATATATTATTTATTTCCCCACAGATGTAAAGGGTTTAATAGTGGGAATCAGCAGCCAAATCATATTATAATAATCTTTCATTGTGTTTTGTTGTTAATTGTGTTTGGGTCTTTAAAGGATTACTCCAAACACTATGTCCATTTCAGTGACTTGAAGTGGTCATGGTATCAGAGTATGTATGTGCAGCTATGAAACTCTGCACATACTGAATCTTAACTCCACCTTCTGCAGCGTCATTGGGGTGTCATGTTATCAGCCAACCCAGAACTAGAGTTCCAGGATGGCAAATGTCAGTTCTTTACAACTTTTGATGCACAGAACATCAGCCATTACCATTAGCTGAGTGCTGCAGAAGTTGTAAGTGTGTATCCAGACCATCAGAGAGCGTTGGAGCATAGGTAAGAGGGAAAACCGTTACTAGACGGTTTGCTTTATTACCAGGGAACTGGACCAGGGTACTCCTGGCGTCATAACCATTACAGCAGTCTTTAACATATCTATCCTTTAATTTTGGTATTGCTATACACGACTGCCTAGAACATGGGAAACCTATAGTGTAATAAAAGTTATTATGCAGTCTCAGTAATGCCTCAGTAAAATGGAAAGCATGGACCTTGATGGTGTCCAGCATCAGGGGGCTGAGCTTGCAACCAACCGGGTCGGACGCCATTTCGGCCAGCTCCTCACCACTAACCCAAATCTGGCTATATATCAGCGCCAACCTTGCCCATCCAGCCCTGCAAACCGGCCAACCTGCATCCCGGAGGCAGCCCGCACCTGCTGATGCCTTTCTTTTAGCCGACCAAGCAGGCAAAGTTAAGGCATAAGTGCGGGGCCTACCATGCACCGCCAATCCTGGGCTTGGAGGCAATCTTCAAGGGTATTGTAGCAGGAAACATCCTGAGCACTTACAGCACCTCGCATCCACAACCGACCCAAATACCAGCGATGGGACGCCGCTCACAGAAGCCAAATGCAGTGGCGGAGTGCAGAGACATTAGCTCCTTGCTGCAGATACCTGTGCAGCCAAAACAGCCTCCTGCAAAGACCCCGCGGCCTACACACCCGAACGCCATAGGGGGAGCGAAGAGGTAAGGGCCACACACGACTCTCAACCCTGTCAGACGCCACCCCCAGAGCTTAACGACGGAACAGCACCCACAACAAAGGATGGCTTAAAGGTGCTTCTGCTAGACATACACAAGCTCTGGGCCGCAGAACTGAAGCTTATTAATGCTGACATACAGGCAGTCACAGGCCGAGTGAAAATGTCTGAAAAGGACATTCTTAACATTCGCTCAGATATGGCCACACTTAAAGCATCTTTCACACAGCTACAGGTTCACCAGTCGGCTCTGTCACACAGAATGACAACCTTTGAAGATAGACAGTGCTGTAAACATGTTAAGATCAGAGATATCCCCTTTGATATCTCGGCCAAAGAGCTGCCACATTACACTCGAAGGCTTCTGGCGACTATACTACCTCATCCAATTGCCAGAAAGCTGTCCATCGACGGGATATATCGCATAACAGGCTCACCAAAGGCACAACCTGACCAGATAAGAGACGTCATACTCCGCTGCACCTCCTCTCAAGATAAGGCCCATAATATGCTGGCCCTAAAAGGCAAAACGTCATTGCCCTTTGAAGGCACCTTCCTAACCTCAAACGAGCCACACTGCTTTGGTGCAAATCCCTAGCTCCAGTCACCTCTCAACTAAGAACCGCTGGAGTGGCCTACAGATGGGGTCCCCCTGGAACTTTGCTGGCTACATATAACGGGACTGTTCACAAACTTAAATCTGGGGCAGACATACCCACTTTCCTAACATTGCTAGGCATGGGAGACCAGAATGTGAGAACATCTACGTTAGTGCCCACCAGTTCCTGGGACCCTGCCAACACAGCCCCATTTACACCTCAAGCTGCCACCTCCAGGGTGCCAGAAACTTGAAAGGACTGAGCATTCAACCTACTGACCCAAACCAAAACAGCAGAAAGACACCTACCCAAGGCACCCATAGCCTACACAGTTGTTTTCGGTTATGCTTTTATGTTCTTATAAGACCAATAACCAAAGGCTGGATACATTGTACACGGTACAATGATACGAAATGGATGTAGGCAGATGTAGCAGGAATTTATGTATAATCGAGACGAACAAAACGTGTGTTATATTTTATAAATGCATTTCCATTCCATTCTGTACAGCAATTACCAATGTCTCAATAAAAGAAAGAGTTTAAAAAAAAAAAAAAAAAGTTATCCAGCATCAAACAGGTTAAAATCGAACCCTAGATCTGTGACAATCACATCTAATTAAAATACCAAAGTTTTACTTCCACAAAGCGTCTCTGGTGGCTGTTTGAGGTTACCCCAGCAAAGAAAACATTTGTTGTTCCTGCAGAAGAATCCCATATAACAGTACCAAATCAGGGAGCTATCTATTAAATAGCTCCCAATTTTGGTATCCTTAAATATTGGCAACCCCACATAAGGGTACCAATTTTATTTAGGGAGCTACTTACTAAACGGTTGAAAGACCAAGTTTAAGAAAAGCCCTTTTCTTATATATCTTTCAGCTGTTTAGTAGATATACTTTTGGTATCCTTAAAGGGTTATGCCAAACACCATTTGAATTGGTCACGGTGGTAGGAGTGTGAATGCGCAGTTTCTGCTTGAAATTATGTACATGCAGAGATATTTGCACTCAATGTGCCTGTAGCAAGTTACATCCCCGGCACACGTGACACGTGGCAGCCTTAAACTGTAAATTGCATATTTTACATCTGCCGACTGATCTAACTATTTTCTCTCTTGCCGGCATTGCATTTGCAAGAGGAAGCTTGCTCTCCCTTTCTTTCCACTGAGCCTGTGAAATGGTCCAGTCACAAGCTTCTCTATGAGATGCCTTTGATTGGACGGTGTGACTGCAGAGATGACTTGATAATAATGTCATAATGATGATAATGCATTTTAAAGCAAAAACAATTCAGTGTCAAAAAAGGTTTGCGTAACCCTTTAAATATGGCATTCCAACATCAGGGTACCAAATTAGGGAGCTATCTACTAAAGAGCTGAAAGACCTATAATTAAGGAAAAGGTTTGTTCATTTTAATCTTTCAAATGTTTGGTAGATGGCTCCCTAATGTGGTACCCTTAAATATGGCAATCCCACTTTAGGACACCTAATTAGGTACTTATCTACTTATCTAAACCACTGTAAAATAACAAATTAAATTAGTATCTTGTTAAACCTTTTTGATTGGACTAACAGAATTTTGGATTGACTCCCTTTCTCAAATCTAAAGCGTTGCTGAGCAAAAACAACACATAGAATTTAAAGTTGAGTTGTGATACTGGGGTTAAAGCGACATGAGTGCAGATAATACACAGAACTGATAGAAAATAGACACCATTGTAACCGTGGGTGGTTCCCTTATTTACCACTATAATGTCTTAAAGCATAGAACTTAGTAGGGCTAACCATACATATGGATATCTTAGCCATAATTTTATATAGTTAGTAAGAGATCCTCTATTTACCATATATAAATAATTGAGAATACAATATAAAATAAGGATTGTCTTGGAAGCAAGATTGTCTTTTGGATATTTATTATATAAAAATATAAAATCCATTATAGCAGAGTTTATAAGATTAAATTACATGCTTGCAAATATCATTAATAGGTTAACATACCCTTCTGAACATGTCATCATGTAAGCCTCTCTGTCATTTTAAGATGGAGCAGCGTCTGTCTCCAAGTCTCTCCTCTGTGTGTTAACATTTAAACGTACACCTATTTATACCTTAGGTGTCTCCATTTTAGGTTACTGTAGTTCAAATACGAAAAAGTAACACTTCTTTTACTTTATTAAATTTAGGACCTCCCTTAATTTGGCAAACATACAAGGCCATAACTAAAGGGTGTATACGTCATGGAAATTTTCCTGACTTAGTTCAAGATGGCATCTTAAAGTCTGAATAGGTTATCTGTTGTTTATACTAAGTCATAAGTGTACAGTCGTGGGAGATTCCTGGATTTGGGGAAGTTCCATTAACTTGGGGTTACCACAGTATATTGTGTACTGCAAGAGTCGTAGCATAGCCTTGAAGCTTGTTTATGCATTATTGTTATTGTAATTCGTCTGGGACAAAATGGCGCAAACATATTATGCACTGAGGTTATTGCTTAAAGAAACAGTTATGAAAAACAATATTTTCCATTTCTAACACCTTGTCAGTTTGCAATATCTCCTAAAGACAAAGTACACAGTTTAAGAAATACAACATTTCATTCTAAAACTTGTAATATTTGCATTTGCCCGTAACACCCTCTCCATTAAACTGTGGGCATTGTAGCGCATTTCTTCCTTAAATTAGTAAACCAAAGTTCTCCAACAGTCTTTAGGTTTTTGTGCTCCCAGCATCTTTGATCATTGTTGTAACAGTAAAATATCCGTAGTGTGATCTTTGTGATCTATATTGAAACTATATTAACTGATAGGATTTAATTTATCTATTTTGGTCCACTGTTCACTGATCTTAAGTCTCAGTCTGGTGTTTAAACAGTTTTTCTTACGATACGTCGTGAGTTTATATCCACAACTGCATTTTGCTTTGTGGAAACAAATTGAAAGCCTGGCATTGTAATACGTGTATGGACATGCTTAGTTGGTCATTAACAGGCACTTTGATGCAATGTGTCTACCTATGCTTTTCTGTGGTCACTGGATCACATCGCATACCCTATCTCTCAGTCATGATACAGAGGTTATGCTTGCAAGGATATCCAGACCTTATCCACCTGGTATCCGCATAAATACTCCTATCGTTTACAGGGGTTAATTACATAATAACCATTGAAGGTAATATGTTGGTTGTTCTTCCTATAGAGGAAATATGGACTTGCCCTAAAAGCTTTTTCATGGCTAGGACAAGCTCTTATAGAGAGAGGTAATGTACTTCTGACTCCTGAAAAGGAATACTGGTGGTCCAATATGGGAAATACTGTAATTCATGTGTTTAGTAATCATAAGCATTTGCTTATTGCCACATTACTGATGTACTGTTTATTGAAATAGTAATATCTAACGTACTTTTTGGATTACTATATATTGGAAGTTTGTCAACATCACATGGTTATGAATATGTTTTTGTATGTGTTGATGCATGTACCAGGTTTACTTGGATATATCCTGTGCGAAGTGCAATCTCTGATGCCACGTTTTCTAGTCTCACTTCCTTAGTATGCATTTGATAATCCCAGGACCATCCATTTGGATGGTGGTCCTGCAGTTACTGCAAAGGAAACCTAAAACTGGGCAACCACATTTGGGTTACTTTGGGATTTCAGTGCCCCAACCACCCCCAAAGAAGTGGGGTTGTGGTCTGGGAAAATGCTGAGGTTAAATGATTATTAACCAAGTTACTAGTTGCTTGCCCCACACAGTGGTATCTATTTATTCCTATGGTACAAATGAGCATTCACAACATACAAAATCCATGTGAACAAAGCACTTCAAGTTCAGGTGCCAGGTACAACGTAATTAGCATACAATGCTGAAATTGTGGATCTTAACTAATATCATAATAGAACAAATATACATATTTGGTAAACTCCCTGATATGCCTAATACATCAGCACAGCATGGCCCATTAGTTCCAGGACAGTGGATTGCAGACAGGGGGATATGTTCTCTTTGTAGCTGCTTAGTATGCATGCGCAGGAAAAAGATTAATGCAAAATGTTGTCAAAAGAAAAGTGATAAGACAGAGCGATGAAATTTGAAGTCTAATTCCAAGAATGCAAAGAAAATTGCATTATGGCTTAATGAAAACATTCATGCAACAGACAGACAGGATTTTTAATTATTGCATTACTGCGTTCTGGATTCTAATGTCCACTATATAAGAAATGTTTTATAAAATAGTGATATTTTCCATATTGTCAGTTACGCTAGCTGTTGATTAAAAATCAGGAATTATAACAGCATAACTATTTTTGGAGTCTGGAATTTCCAGCCAAGATACAGAGACATGTAAACATTCCAAGGAATTGAGAAGTCGTCGTTTTATATTCCAAATTATTAACATTATTACATACAGCCATAAAGAGAAAGACATGACTTTTAAATAAACTTACAAAGGGTCATAGATATTTTGTGTAAAAAAACACAGAGTGAGGCCTGAGCCACTGGACCCCAGGGAAGTCACCCTCCTGCAACTAAAATTTAGGAAACACTAAACATTTTGCATGTGTGTGTGTTTGTATATTATTATTATTATTATGATATTTATAGAGCGCCGTCAAATTCCGCAGCGCTTTACAATAAGCTTACATGCTAGAGGAAGTGGGGTAAAATGACACAAAAAGGTAAGGATAGTATTAGACTAGTGACAGTTTCAGAAGAGGAATCAATCAGGAGCTATTAACAGTTTAATTGATACGCTTTTATGAAGAAGTGGGTTTTTAACGATTTTTTGAAGGAGTGGAGACTGGGTGAGCATCGAACGGAGGAGGGAAGCGAGGAGTTCCACAGGAACGGTGCAGCCCTCGAGAAATCTTGAAGGCGAGCATCAGAGGTGGGAGTACGGACAGAAGATAGACGTAAGTCTTCAGCAGATCGTAAGGGCCTAGACGGGACATACTTGTGTATAAGGGAGGATAGATAGGTGGGAGCAGCATTATGTAGAGATTTGAAAGCAAGAACCAGAATTTTAAATTGAGCTCTATATTTTATAGGAAGCCAATGTAGAGCCTGACAGAAGGGTGAGGCATGGGAGGTGCGGGCGGACAGGAAGATGAGCCTCGCCGCCGCATTCATTATGGACTGTAACAGCGCAAGTTGGGAGCAGGTAAGACCACCGAGAAGCAGATTACAGTAGTCAAGGCGAGAAAGGACAGTGGAATGGACCAACACCTTAGTCGCATCTAGCGTTAAGTAGGGGCGGATGCGTATCAGTGTCTGTATGTATGTATGTATGTCAGTGTGTGTGCCCCTATGTATCTGTATGTGTGTCACTGTATCTGTATAAGTATAATTATGTGTATCTGAATGTTTGTCATTCAGTGTCTGTGTATCTGCCTCTGTGTCTATACATGTATCTGTCTGTATGTGTGTGTCTGTGTATCTGTATGTGTGTCAGTGTTTGCATCTGTAGGAGTTACAAAAATACATATTCGATATTATAGAAAAAAGTACAATGAAGGAGTATACAATAAAAAACAGGTATGCGTTATCGATATAGCAGAGTACATAGTCTAATAAAGAACGGTGAAATAGTCATAGAGGTATGTAAGATAAGAAAACTCTTGAAAGTTTGTCTTTTAAATATTATATTAGTCCAATAAAAGAAGTATCATTACATACTGCTGGTATACTCTGGTATTTTAAGTTATCTAAAACCTCCCGTCATTTCCATTGTATTACAGTGCTGTTCCACTTTAACAATTTGTTAACCTGCCGGATCACTATGAGACAATCTATTCATCAACAATTTAACAATTGTCCGGAGCAGTCATCATTTGAACTTTATATGAAAAAGGTAAATTAAAGGGTGTTGAAACTGAAATAACTGTGTGAGGACGAATAGTGCCAGTTCTGTGATCATTTGGGGGTTGTATTTTCTATTGTTGGTGCAAGAGGTAAATGAAAACAGGTGTTAACGCCATCTTTATGTGGAACTTTACTATACAGAGATTCCAAGGCCATGGTTACTAGGATGGTATTATCAGAGAGGTTGGTGATTCGGTTCAGTTTAAGTCAGTGGTGTTTTTTATAAAGCTGTTGGTGACTCTGTGATCCTAGAGTGATTACATTAAAAGATGTATCAAGAATGGAAGCTACGAGGGCGTGGCCTGACCGGGTATGGAGTGAGACGCATCTCCCTGCAGCTCCTAGGCCCCAGCTCACTACCGCACCGATAAACGAGCACGAATTGACCCGAGATGGGTAAGACAAAGAGGCTACTCACCCCTGGCCCCTCACAAACGGGCTCACCGAGCCGCACAGCGGGTCCCATGGACGGTACCTCGGAACGCCGCGAGACATGCGGGCGCACCAGGCCGCGGCCAAAATGGCGCCGCCCTCACCAGACGCCAGCAGCTCAGACAGCCCAGCAACAGGCCCAGCCAGAGAGGAGTCACTGACCCAAATTGCAGCAGACCTGGCCACAATATCTGCAAACATGATGTCCAAGGCAGATAAGACGGACCTGCTGGCTGAAATTAGGGCAGTAATCAGAGAGGAGGTCACGGAGGTGAGGAGAGACCTGACAGCACTGGAACGCAGGGTGGAGGAACTAGAGGCAGAACGTGTCCAAATAATACAACACCGCCAAGCCACAGACACAGCCACTACTAGACAAGGCAATGTCCTGCTGGAGTTAAGAAGGAATCTGGAAGATTTGGACAACCGCGGACGGAGGAACAACATCCGCGTCAGGGGACTCCCTGAAACAGCAGGGGAAGCACTACCAGAGCTCCTGCTGGGCCTGTTCACACACATATTAGGGGACAGAGCCCCAGCAGACTTTGGAATAGAACGTGCACACAGAGCCCTGCGCCCCGTGTCCGCTGAGGGACCGCCTAGAGACGTAATCTGCTACCTGCTCTCCTACTCGTTAAAGGACGAAATCATGAGGGAAGCAAGAAATCAACAGAACCTCACCTACATGGACGCCCAGATTTCCCTATATCAAGATCTCTCAGTACTCACCCTGGAAGCGAGAAGGGCACTGAGACCGCTAACCACCCTGCTTAGAGAACGGCGGATACAATACAAATGGGGATTCCCCTTTAGCTTACAGGCAAAAGTGAGCAACATATGGCATATCATACGCTGGCCAGCTGACGTGCCACGCTTCCTCCGAGCCGCGAACCTCCCAGCAGTGGCAGTCCCAAATTGGGTCCTGGAGAGACAGCCGCAACGCCCAAACGCTCCAAATATCAGGCCGGGTACGGGCCTTACAGGAACTGGGTTCCGCAGAGGCGGCCCAGATAGCCATGAAGAATAGCAGATTCAAGAGCCCTAGGGGGCAGCGACCGGCGCACCCACCGACGGAGGTATACCCCAGTTTTCACACCCCCATTCAACCCCAGAAACCACGCCGCAGTGAGACAGACCACCGGACCGCTCCCCCAAGGTTGATGCGAAGAAACAACCTCCGTAAGCAGAAGCTGACACACTGCTGGGTATGTACTTACACCCCTACCCTGGGCCCGTAGCAGTTACGCACAAGTCAGAGTTGCTGGGACTTGAGACAATGGAGGGCCACATATTTCTTGGGGTGGTGGGAGTTATGGGGATCGGGTACCACCCGGGGACGATGATGACATGGAGGGGATCCCCCCCAGATTTATACAGACTCGGGCTCTTGCCCATAGAATCCCCCCTTTTGGGTGGTTGGGGTAGAGGGGAGGCATTGGCGGACTCCAACTACTTGAATGGCACCCCAGGATAAAGTCTGGACAGTCCCGTGATGTCCCAGAGGGCCCCGAGACTCAAGCTCCGCCCATCCCCTGAAGGAACTAGCGAGCCAACAGGCAGGAGAGGACACCACTTCCCCCAGCTGGAATAGGGAGCAGAGGAGGGGGGTATGGTTCCTTGGGAGGGGGGAGCGGGGAACGCCAGAGGCGGTGGTTTGGTATTCACAGTTGTACTTGTTATTGTTATTGATTAAGTTCACATGCTCTATACCACTCCTAGGGGGGCACACACCTACACAAGGGGGCTGGTAACACACCTGAGCCCACGAAGCCAGGGGGGATAGGCCGGGGCGGGGACACCCGGGGAGGCCGGACCCGTTAGGTAGCTACAGGGCCTGATTACCGACTAGACACGCATTACTCAGACCCTCAAGAACAGAGAGGAAAATGGATAATGGGAGGGGGTACCCTCGTACTACTTCACCATACCTGCAGGGAAAATTCCAATTAAACAAATACAGTGGGCTGGGTGCCGTGAGAGCAGTGCGATTCAGACGACGGTTCACCCAAGAACGGACGACCCACGTACCTCACGTGACAGACTCACACTGTACAAACCCTCGGGGGCTACTCTGGTGACATACCCCGAAGGGAATAGACACTGGGAAGTGACTGACCCCGAGGCGAGTCGTAGTCACCTAGATCCCGACCCACTAACCTGCCCTGACTTTGACTGGACTACCCTACTTCCCCCCCCGAACCTTACCCCGTGATACTCTGACATACCCATACCCCTTCCCACGCACAGCTAGGGATGGGCACTAACTATGTGCCGGCACCGCTTAACCTGTGGTCGAACAACGTTAGAGGTCTAAACGTACCCGAGAAGCGGTCTCAGCTACTCAGTACTCTCTGGGCGGAACGCATCTCGGTGGCGTTTTTGCAGGAAACGCATCTTAAAGGCGTGGAGGCCCCCACCCTGAAAAACAGAAGGTTCCCCACAGGTTATTACTCCAACCATGCCGACCAAAAAAAAGCGGGGGTGGCGATCCTCTTTTCACATACTGTCCCGTTCGTATGCACAGAACAACGAATAGATACAGGAGGTAGATACTTATTCATTAAAGGAACCATAGCACAACAGCCCTACACATTCGCATGCCTCTATACACCGAACCGTAACCAACATGCCTTCCTAAATAAAACACTCACTTTGCTCAACAAGTTCAGAGAGGGCTTACTAATTATGGCAGGAGATCTTAACACTCCGTTAGACGCCAGATTAGACACCTCAAGGGGAGAAAGCTCAATACCAGGTCATTGCATACGCGCAGTCGGGAGAGCTCTGACAAGGAGTGGACTAGTGGATTGATGGAGGGCGGCGCATCCCGATGGCAGGGACTATTCCTATTTCTCAGCTGTACATCAGAGATACAGTCGGATTGACTATATCTTTATGGCACAGGAAGCCCTGACACTACTCCGCAAGGCTAGCATAGGCCTGATGGCGGAGTCCGATCATGCCCCGGTCTCAGTCCAGATCCAATCCCCACTACACAAACCAGCGGAAAGGCACTGGAAGCTAAATGAGAATATGCTGCTTAGCCTGGGTGACACTGACCCGGTTAGGCAAACTCTAACACAATACTTCGACACTAACACAACCCCCGATGTCTCGCCCTTGACGGTGTGGGAAGCACATAAGTGTGTAGTACGGGGACACTATATTAAGGTCTGTACACAACGGAAGAAAGAACATACACGACAGCTGATAACATTAAACACTCAAATAGCCAACCTAGAGCAAGCTCATAAACAAAGTCAGGACGAGGACACGTTCCTCCATCTAACAGCGCTCCGGAGACAGAGAAGGGACATATTAGCTCAGGGTCTCCTACGCACCCTTAGAAAATCGGCCCGGTTCTTTTTTGAGCACTCGGACAAAAGTGGCAGACTGCTAGCCCGCCAGCTCCGTGACCGTCGGATGGCGAGCCACATACACAAAATTAAGCCCAGTGACAAAGCTGAAACCCGAATGCCGGATGGAATTCAGCGTGCGTTCGTAGACTACTACACGGACCTATACAATATCCCCCAACCCAACACTGGCGCTGCCCGCGCACGACAGACCCGCCAAATTACTGAATTCCTGGAACAAAATATAGATAACAAGCTGACCGCGGAAATGCGGGACGACCTAGACCAACCCCTCACCATGGAGGAGCTGGCGGCAGCCCTAAAAATCTCCAAATCCCATAAGGCCCCTGGACCTGACGGACTGCCCCTGATGTACTTACGTACGTTCAGGGACATCTTATTACCAAATCTCTTACTGGGCCTCAACTCCATACTGGAGGGGGGGCGCTTTCCCCCAGACACGTTAGCAGCCATAGTTACTGTAATACCAAAAGAGGGCAAGGACCCGACGAATTGCGCGAGCTACCGCCCCATATCGCTACTAAACGCAGACCTGAAACTATTCGCAAAAGCCATTGCCCTGAGAGTTGCAAAACACCTCCCCCACTTGGTACATTCTGATCAAGTGGGGTTTATCCCGGGTAGGGAAGGGAGAGACAACACGATTAAGGCCCTGAACATCCTACACATAGCACGAGCGCGCCGTAGAGAACTTCTACTACTTTCCACCGATGCCGAAAAGGCTTTTGACAGGGTGAGCTGGGCGTATCTGAGGAGTACCCTTACACACATGGGATTCGGCCCCAACATGCTGGCCTGGGTGCTCTCACTGTACACGTGCCCCACTGCGAGGATCCGCATTAACGGGGCACTTTCAGCCCCTTTCCCAATCAGGAATGGCACCCGCCAGGGATGCCCGCTCTCCCCCCTCCTGTTTGCCCTCTCCCTGGAACCATTTCTGGGGGCGGTCAGACGGAATGGGGGAATCTCTGGATTCGACCTTGGTCGTCACGAATACCGGGTAGCCGCATATGCAGACGATATGCTGTTCTTTCTTACACAGCCGTTGATCTCACTGCCCAACCTCCTAGCATCTTTCCGAGAGTTTGGGGCACTCTCTAATCTTAAACTTAATACGGAAAAGTCCGAGGCTCTCCACCTCCCACCCCCTACAGGCCCCCCAACACACCTTCACACCCAATACAAGTTTAAATGGTGCGAAACTAAATTAAAATATTTGGGCATATGGCTGACCAAGGACCCGTCCCAATTATACCACCATAACTATCACCCTCTCCTACTCTCACTTCAGACGGACCTTAAGAAATGGACCCCATATTACATCTCCTGGTTCGGACGTATCAATACGATTAAAATGAACGTGTTACCCAGGATACTCTACCTATTCCAAACAGTGCCAATTACTCTCCCCAGAGCCTTTTTTAGCTCTATGACGACTGCCATCCGCAGATTCGTTTGGAACTCTCGCCCAACCCGAATAAAAAAATCAACCCTGGAACTACCAAAATTGATGGGGGGCACGGGACTGCACTCCATAGAGACATATTACCGCGCCGCCCACCTGCACAGACTGACGGACTGGCACGCACAACACCCATTAAAACAATGGGTGACCATTGAGCTAGAACAAACTGATAGAAAAATACCTTCTAGGCTTTGGCTACATACTGCCACATACGCCGACCTGCACACCGAGAACCCACTAATCGACGCCACGCTCCGAGTGTGGATAGCTATACGCTACCGACTGCAACTCACAAGTTCTCCTAGCCCCTTGACACCCATCACACATAACCCAGACCTGGCCGATGCTCTAACCCCACAAGACCTAGCCAGCCTCCAGCAGGCAGACTGGATGTACCTGCACCAATGGCTCGACACTCAGGGACTTAAACCACTCAGAAACCTCTGCCCAGATAGACCACCGACGATACTCGAACAATTCAGATACCACCAAGTTAAGACGTACTTCATATCCTTACATGGTCGAGGACACCTGACTAGACCCCTCACCAGCTTTGAACACCTGTGCGTACACCGAACACACGTACACAGAGGTATCCCCACTATACATACCATACTCAAGACCCAAACTAACGAAGATGTGGTGCTCAAATTTAAAGATCATTGGGAGAGAGACTCGGGGGAAGTCCTTACTGTGCAAGACTGGGACAAGATTTACACTCTCACACATAAATGCTCTATCAGCTCCAAGTACCAGGAGCTGAACTACAAAATTTTAACACGCTGGTACAGAACCCCAGACGTACTCAATCGCATGAACGTAGGTGCCCCGGACACCTGCTGGAGATGCGGCTTGCATACCGGCACGTACTTCCACATCTGGTGGCAGTGCCCCGAGATTACCACATTCTGGGAGAGGATCAGGGTAGAGATAAACAGAATCAGGTGCGGAGCTAACCCTAGAACCCCTAACGATGCTATTACACCACACCCCCACACCCGTTAAGACATATAAGAAATCCCT